CACATGCAGCGCCATCTAGCGATCATTTTAGAAATTTTTTCCAATCTCTCGTACCCAAAAACCCCCCAATACCAGTTTTCATACCGATCGAATGAAAAAAATCGAAACTCCAAAATGTCACTCCAAGGGGTAGGTTCGAAGCCGATTATCTTGTGAACTTCGAATTGATCGGTCAAAACCGTTGGCACCATTGGATTCCTTGGGTCCGAATTATGTAAGATCGGTGGTAAAACCAAACAATCAGCGCAAAAACTTGCCCAGAAAAGTTGATTTAAAAAAATGAAAAAAAAATTCGGTCGCTCCACTTCGGACCGTTAAAATTTTTTGACACACCCACATAAATTTGGAATCTAAAAATGTGCATACCGGACCAAAATTGAATGCTCTTTCGATTTCTGGCATAAAAAAGATAGGTTTATCACATGTTTTTTCGAGATAAATTACGATTTTCCTCGATTTTCGATGATTTTTTTCACTTTTGGTCAACCCACTTTGACCGTCTCCACTGAAACTTTTTTTGAATTTTTTTTGTGGTATTCTTAAGAGGGCCGAGAGATCTTTCGAACAAGACAATAATGAAAAATTGCTTTTGAAAAACACCGCTGTGGTGACCGTCCGTGGAAATGAATCAGAGCACAGAAAATTATGACCCTAAGGGGCCGAGGACTGTAACCCCACCAAAACAGCCGATTTGGGAAAAGTGCTCATACACTTTTTTACTCCTCTTGAGCTGACAAATCTGTGGTAGAGAGATTAGCATGGATCTGTGAAACACCCTGTATAGAGTGACGCAAATATACATATATTTCATATGTATGTTGGTATTGCGTCACTTGGGGGACTGCCGTTCAAGTGATAAAAGGAGTATTATTGGTACCGAATAGCAATGCTATGCAAGTGTTTTAAGAAACAAAAGTTTGACCTTTTTTTTATTGAAATGTTGAAATGACTGATAGTGCATTTCTAAAAAGCCTATAAATAATGCACTTTGTCATAGCGCCATCTATATCAAAAACAAATGGTGTTGCCTGTTTGAGTTTATAGTGCTTCAATTGATACAATACAGCTTAAATGTGTCAAAAAATATGTTTACTAAGTGAGAAATTTCGAAGAACATCCAATCATCAAATTGAGTATTAGTGTCGAGTTTCAAAAAAAAACGGTTTAGATTTTGTGTTTGCTTGAAAAATAATTCAAATTAGAATTTAAAAAGAAATGTCCAAACGACGTGGTAAGTATTGGAATATTGCTTAAAAGTATAATAAATGATATTTGTTGACCGGTGAATTCACTAAATTTTATGATATGTATTGAAACACCAGAAATTAAAACAATGAACACAATCGATATCTGCTGCTTCGAAGTCGAGAAGGCTGGTGGCTAGATATTCGATCGGGTAGTGTTTCATTGTGAACGATGATGTACAAAAATGTTGTGATAATTTCAGTCTGTGATCAGACGGTGAATGAATAAATAAATACATATAAAATGTTTAAAATGGCCGATTGTTTATTTCTAGCAAATGAAGTTGTTGTGGCTCGTGGCCGCTTAAAGGGAGCATTGCAAGAGCTTGCAAATGTAAATGACGATGATGATGATTTGGATGCAAGTAAACCAAGCCGTGGACGTCCACCAAAACGTGCAAAAAAAGAGACGACACTACCACCACAGCCGCAAATCCAACATAGTTTCATTATGAAATTGTTCGATCGTTGCGTTGACCTTGCCAAATACAATGAACATACTGCACTTTATCCCATTTGTCGGGCTTGGATGTTAAATCAACCTCGATCTAATGCGATTATCAAGTAAGTTTCAATTTAAAAAAAAGAGCACAAAAATAGCTTTTTTCGAATTATTCTTTTCTAAAGTGTTCAACTTTTTTCTTCAGCTACAAAACCAAAAACGAAATTTCAGTCGTAAAACGCGAAGAGAATGATGATCTTTTGGAGGACATTAAAGCCGAACGAATAACTGAAATCAGCGACTTACCACCATGTAAAGATGTTGACATTTCACGAATACCATTGCCATTGTCATTTCAAAAAAATAGCAACAGCACAGAGGACGTGGATAAAGTATGTTAGATTTGTAGATTTTTCTGAAGAGTTTCACAACATTATCGATTTGATGGAAAACAAAAATTAATAATTCGGAAATATTTGTGTTTTCAATAGGGCTTTGAAGGACCAAAACATGATCGTGATGTGTTGTTAACGTCATGGAAAGAGCGTTGGTGCCAAGTACGTAAAAAATGGCTGGATCATACAAAGGATTATGAAGAGAAAAATTACGGTGTCAATATGGCCATTTTAAAGGCATTATACAAAAAATAATTCATTTACCATCATAATTTAAATCGTCATCTTCATCTTTTTATTGCCAATTTCTTATAAGAGCAAACAAATTTGTAATGTTTTTAGTACATTCTAACCTTGAAAAATGCTCATTCTGGTGGTCATTTTCGTGTCAAATGGAACGGAGATTATATGCATAGTTTTCACGAATTCCAATGGAATGGATCCACTTGTTTCTTTCACTTCCAATAATATTTCATTTGACAACATAATGTGAACACAACCCAATACATTAAGTTTTAAATTGAAAATCTAAACCTTACGCTCAAATAAAAGAATAAACAATTTATGCGGAAAGATATTTGCGTAATTTAATTTAGAACTCTGCAGAAGAACTCTTTTATACGTCATTTATTGCATTTAATTTTCTTTATTTGTGGAATTATTATTTTGAATTTTCGAAATGCAACTGACATCTTTCTGACATTTTTCTATTCGCGCGGTGTATATGTGTCAAACCAAATCCAAAGATATTCATTTATATGTATTAAAAATGTGCTCGCATCGTGTGACAGTATTGTTAGTATAAGCAACTATCGCACCAACCGATTTTGTTTACAATAAAACTTTGTTTTGTTTTCAATAGGATTTCTTGAGAATTATATGAGAGTGTTTGAAGCGTGGTTTGGGCGATCAATTGGTTTTATTGTCATTTCAAAAACGATTTTGTGTGTTCGGAATGCTGTTCCCTGTGGAATGGATATATTCACAGTTGGTTTTGTGACTGTCTTTGTTTTAATTTCGAATTAACAGAGTGTTGATAAAATCTACTGTGAATATTCCAACAACATTTCGATCGGCAAAATATTTGATGTCACATTGGAAATAAATTTCATCATTCGATTTAGAATACAGGGTCACTTTGTTGAGGTAAGAGGTGATATTTATAATGCGTTCTTCATTACTGTTTCATTTGATTTGTGATAAAAGTGTTTATATCTTATTGTGTTTGTGATCTATGCTATATTTGGTGCATTTTTTTCTTTCAGTTTTGTACAATAGTTCTGTCACGATGAGAAGAAAGAGAGCCAAGAATGGGCGCAGTACGTCGTGGAAGATGACTCTAAATCAAGTGCTGCGGGAAGGGTATCGTGCACCATTCATCGATCAGGTCACATACTGGTGCCTTTCGGCCACAATGATTACGACTCTTGCGTCATTAGTGTTTTTGTTCAAAGCAAACAAAGCCTTTGACGATGAAAATGCTCGATTTTTGAAAGGTGAATCCGATGAATACACGAATGATCAATTCAATAAATACGTGAATAGTGTAATTTGTAAATGTTTCAACTCGGTATTACAAGAAAATTACCACAAATTACCACTTGCTTTTCGCTAGGGGGTAGACACTTGGAATAGGAATAGACTTTTATTGTAAAGATTCGAGAAATTGCAATGAAATAGTAACGTCTGTGAATGGATTCGCGTGGAATAGCGATACAGAGCATGGAATAGCAAAAATTGTTTCACTTCAAATCCATTTGACATTTCTTTTGACGTTTATTGATGGATTTGTGGAATAGTGCGGAATAGCAGAATTAGCATTTTTGACGGAAACAGTGCATGGAATAGGAAAAATAGTTTCGATTTCACATTTGTGTTTTTGGATTAGTGGAATAGCTAGATTAGTAATTTATATAGTGGATTCGGAATTTATTTTTTATGTCTCCCCCTAACATATGTCCACAAAGTTTTGGCAGTAAATTCAGGCGTTTATTGCGCCACATAAACAAAATCAAAAATATCAACCAATGCACACGGCACGTTTATCAGTACCTCGGGACTACTATCAAACTCAATTCGATGAAATACATCCATTCGCGGAGACGTACAAATTGGATTTACGAAAAAGTGTCTCAAATGGTTGTGGCGGCTAAGTTCAAAACAAATTTCGCATGTGTCTAAAGATGAACCCATCTGCCTACGAACCATATATTCATGGACTTAGTACACAGCAATGAAACGACAACAACAATAACACATATTTTTACTGTCAAAATTTTGATGTCAAATGGTGTCGACATTGGTGACGGTATTTTGAAACAGACTGTGTAATCCATATTCATCGTATATGATCCTATGTAAAGTTCTATACTTGATCTAGTTCACATTGACGGTTCAAATCGGTTATGTCCAATAGCGTGGATATGGACTGTGTGTTTCTTCTGTTACATGTACGTTGTAATGGACAAGTATAGTAACATGGCGTCGTTCAAATAAATTTAAAAATCCGTCCACTCGTGTCGACACCATCTAGCACGGTAGTAGGGATTTCATTGCTGTGACTTAGTGTGAAGACAAAGATTCTAGAGAAAGCAAAAAGTACGGTCGTATTCCCTATTTAAATGCTCCAACCCTCCAAAATTGTCATCAAGTACCGAAAACCGGGTTGGTCAAGCAAAAATTCGTTTTTGGTGATTTTTATGGTTACAGCACATCAAAATTTGAACCAAAACAATAGATTTAGACCCGGTCATTAGGAATCAGCAAAATAAGTAATGAAAAAATTCAATAGGGTGTCAAAAATTGGGTATTTACTTCACCTCATAGCATTTTGCACTGAAAAATTCATCATTTTGGACAGTGAAACATTCATCGCTATGTCGAACCACGAATCAAGTGCAAGTGGTTTCTTTTGCATTGATTATGTTAGGGCACTACTATATAAGGCTAGAGACGTCGACAAACCGAACTTTGATAAAGGCGTGTTTGTATGGTAGGATCTTCTTTGGAAGGTGTTTTAGAGCCAATATTCGAGAATTTGGTGCTGAAACGTAAGGTAAAACCTCCATTACATGCTCCATTATCAACCAATTGTTATTGGAATCGATAGAATTCATTGAGAACTATCTGATTTAACACAAAATTTTGGTTTGCAAGCAGAAAAAACCACAATAATGGCTCACTTCTTAAAATATGACATTTCCGTGAAAAAAGGACCATCTGTTTAACTTCACAAAAAGACACCAAATTAATTATTTCTCGTCTGTTTTTGGATGTAAGTTATAGGCGAAGGTCCAAAATACTTGAAACATGCAACAATTAGCGGGAAGGTTCGAGAGAAAGTTGAAAGAAATCGACATATTGGTCCGCCAAAGCATGATTTTGAAGGTTCGACGCATACTGAGAAAAATCGAAGACAATGGCCCGTTCAGTGTAAGGTGAATGTGCTATTCGTAGCCCATTAATGAAGGTTTATACCAATAAAAAAGAATTTAATATTGTATGTTTGTTGTTCAAATGGCGAAAATCTGAATTTACTGTCAAGACTTTATGGACATATGTTAGGCTTTTCGACGAACTGTGGAGCAAGCATGTCCTGAATTTCTTCCTCCAGAAAATTGGCCAGCTCACGAGGGCATGGGGAACGCATTCAATCATCTCATAACAAACGTTAAAAATAACATCAGTGTATGGGCATTCAGTCGCATCAAGAAATTTTTCACGCTAAAGCGCTATGAATTGAATTTGAATCGACAAGGAAACCTCATCACTGAATTGAATGTGAAACGTGCGATGAAGATCGTAATGTTCCAGAGTAGAGTCGAGAGAAACGCGAACATCGATCTTCTATTAAACGAAGGCAGCAGGCATTGGATTGCCTTCGTGATCGCTGGTTCCAAACCATCCCAATATTGACCGTCAACATATGCCCGATAATGGATAAATTTGCAACAACAAATGTTTGTTGGGATAAAGAAGCTAAAATAGTTGAATTTATGAAAACAAAAATGTGACGAGTATTTTTTAATTTTTTTTTCCATTTTCACTTTAAATTTCGATGTATTATTTTTACAATGAAAATTAGTAAACAAAAACCAATGTACAGACAATGTACAGATTGACAACAAAATTATATAAATTTAGAGCGAAAAGAGATTTCAAAGTGTATAATTATTGGATATTTTGTTTTTTTTTTACTCTATTTACGTTAACGAAAACACTGTGCGTCATTTTTCAACTTCAAATTTCTGACAGAAACGAGACCAGTCGGTTTTACATAATTCGGAGGCGCTGATTTCAATGGCATCATTCGTTTTCCCCCATCACGTCAGATTTTTCCACAATTTTCCTCCGAAGTTTCCCGGAAAACCCAAATTGGCTGTTTATACTCTAGTAACATTTTGAATTCATGCAATATCCCAGAGGGGTGACCTATCAGGCGTTGTAGAACCGTTCAAGTAAAGTCATGCCACACAATTCGTTTTAGAAAAAATTGAGTCATTTGAAAAAAAATGATTTGGTTATTCCCCTCTGAAGTCCACATTTTGAAGTAAAATTGGTATCCATTCAAACGCTCTGAAAATGAGTACTTGGGGGCTTTTTTGGCATGAAAAGACCGAATCTGACGCTTTTTTTGCTATAAAATTGGGTTTTATAGCCCCCAAATTATGTAAAACCGACTGGTCTCGTTTCTGTCAGATTTTGAGTGACACACAGTGAAATTGGGAAAATCTATAAGATTTGTGGAATGATGGCGCGACGATTTTTCGGATAATTTTTGAATGTCTCAAGGTACCATTTATGTGTGAGCCAAGCAGTTTCAATTTGATTTCCAATAACCCACAAGAATACCTAGGGGAGAATCATAAAAGAATAAATAGATATAATTTAAAGTAATCTTGCAAAAGACCGTGAATTTATGTATAGTTCAAGAGCAAATCAATGACCACACGTTTGCAACTAAATAGCTTGAATTTGAGATTTGGTAATAGTTGAGAACGTGATTCTGTGAAAGAAAAACAAAATACCCATATCCATGAAGTATTGCCGATTAGGATGACAGTAAGAGCCGTGTACATTAGAACTTCGAAGAACATGTGTGGCGATGAAACGAAATCAAAAAAACCACCTTGGGGCATAAGGTGTTTTTCAGTTATAACGTCACCTACAATGAAAAATTAAATAAATTGAATTAATTAACTCAATTCGAAATATTTCATAGTTCCAACGAAACTGTTTGTATTGTTCTAACTCAACGTGAGTGCATGGATTTTTCCATTACCTGAACGATTCTTCCTTAAATTGGCCAACATTAAATTGGCCCGAAGTTGTTGATACCATCCCAAGAAGAAGACGAACATCATCGATAGATTTCGTGGGTATACCTAAGGGGAGAATCACAAAGAAAATAATGAAAAATAATTAGTGAATAATAGAAAAATTGTAAGCGAAATTATTCCTAATGAATTGTGATGTCAGCATCAAGCAATTAATTAATAATATAAAATCTGTTCGTTCGTATAAATATTCTTTTGATTCGTGTTCGTTCGTATTCGCTAAGGTGGTTGGAATTCTCGTTCGCAAAAAAAATTCGATTCGTATTCGTTCGCGTTCGTTCGTTCGTAAAGATTTTTAAAAGACACATTTAAAAAAAAATCAAACAAAAATAATGAAAAATCAAAGAAAAAGCATCTACTATGAAATTCAAGCGTTTGTTCGCATTCGTTCGTAGAAAGAATTTTCCGATTCGCGTTCCTTCGTGTTCAGCGAGATGGCTTGATCGTTCGCATTCGTTCATAAACATTTTTTTGATTCGTGTTTGAACACGAACGAATACAGATACGAATGTTCGTAGCCATCTCTGAAATTCAGAGTCTGAATGCAAACTTATATTAAGGTATATACTTCAGAGCTGTCCACGAACACCAACGAATAAATTGTTCGTTCGTTTTCAGTGTTCTTTTATTTACATTTTGTTCGTTCGT